AGGCTCGTCAGCACAGGTGTTCTCTGTACGAATCAGAGACAAAGGGCCTGATTATCGGGGTTTTGTACAGTTACCTTTGATAAATGCTAATGATATTACAACATTCATTTCGCAAACAACTGCATTATGTTTTGTGGACAGTTGCGAGAGGAGTTTTGACACCAGTGTACTCAAGTGTCATGTAATTATATAGTTTCCATGAAGATATATTTTTTATGATTATATTTTTTTAATGTTATATTTTTATGTAATATATATACATATTTTTTTTAGGAAAAAGATTATTCAGATACTGTATCTACATGTCAGCACATTCAAGCAGCATTAAAATGCTATGCAGAAGCACAGCCATTAACTTTAAAAAATTCTATTCTGTCATCATTGAATGTAAATAATGAAACAAGGCGAGAGATATGGTTATTAGCAACAGAAACTTCTGGTCCTTTAGTACAAAGAGTCTCAAAGAATATAATGGCAGTAAAATGTAAAGCTTCCCCAAAACATCCACTAGGATATCTTCATTTTTCTTTTTTTATTAGTAAATTAAAGGATAGAATCGAGCATCGTTATTTTTGCAGTTGTACTACATTTAAAGTAAGTAATATCTGTTTATAATATAATTTTTTAAGTTAAATATTGATAAAAAAATTGTAAATATTTGATTCAGATTTAATTTTTTAATTAATTATTTGAACTTTCTATTTTTAATATAAATTATACTTTTAGTTAAAGAATATTTTACTAATTATTAATATATTACTAATTATAATTAATCTATTTACAGGGTACGATAAAGACAGGAGGAGAAAAAGTAGATGGTACTTTGTCACAACCAAAACGATGTGTGCACTTTTATGCATGTATTTGTGCTTTTGCTAGTGATCCAAAGTTATCAGAAGAATTTAGTTATTATATAAATCTAGATCAAAAACAATTAAGTATAGATAAATCTTTGGCAATTGTACCACAAACTGAAGAAGAAGATAAGATTATTGGAATTGGTAAGATTATATGTGTATGTTTTACATTTAAAGATTTATTTTATATATCTTTTTAATGGTAATGATATAAAATTTTAGATCTTGACAGTTTAACCACAGATGAAACTGATACACATCTGTTAATTTTTCGCGATGATACTTTAACTGTACAAAATTTAGATGGAAATAGATTAGATTTGGACTCTATGAATCTAGATTCTTCAATTTTACCACACAGTATTGTTGAAAATATAGAAGTAGAATGCGATCGCAGTTTATTGGATGATAACAACATAATATCACAAGTAAGTTGTTAAAAATATGTATTTATACTAAGAGATCTAGTATATTTATTACAATAAAATATTCGAAAATAATTTCTATAAGTTATTGATAATGCAATTTTATTATTACACAGGTTCATAATTTAGAAGTAATTGACCAAAATACTGTTCAACTGGGAGGAAATGCTATAAAAATATTAGATGATCAAGGGACAATTGATACAAAATATAATATACTTAATCAGTGCATATTAAATGATAATATAAAAATATTAGATACAAGTACCTTAAAGGTTCTTGATGCAAATACTGCAGTTCTAGATGTGAATAATGCAAAACTCATTGATAATAATGCTATCCTAAATAACAGTGGTGTTAAGATAATTGACAGAAATACAATAGTGCATTATGATAATAAAAGTATAGCAAATTCAGAGAGTACTGCGATGCAACCAGTAATTTCTACAAAACGAAAGAGGGACGAAAAGCCCGCGAACAGTAATAGCTTAAATTTAAACTCGATCGAGTCGAGAAAGACGAAGACAAAATCGCAAATTACCAAAAAATATCAAAACACTTGCGACGATTTGGACGAGAGTAACACGAGCTTGCCGTTTATCAAGTGGCTTGCATCTATAACCGAACGAATAAATCAGACAATGCATTTCCAATTTGATGGCAAACCCGATCCCCTGGTGTTTCACGTGCCGCAGATATTCTTTGATTGTTTACGCGAACGAATATCATGCGGTGGTAAAAAGAAACGTTTACCCAATTCAACAACAGCGTTTGTTAGAAAGGACGGAGTACCTTTGGGAACATTTACCAAATACACGTGGCAGATTACGAATATTTTGCATGTAAAAGTATTTTCGAGACATCGTACATACCTCTGGAGATTACGAGAAGTTTTGTGCAGAACGCGGACGGAACATATGAATTATATAAACGAGAGGAGACTGAAATAGATCGTTACAAAAAGACGAATAATAATGCGTTGATTAAGCCGTTAGAGTTGAAAACATATTTGAAAGTGGGTAAGTTGATGGACTAGAATAAAATTGATCGTTCAAGAATCTAAATAAGTTATCGAAATTTATTAAAAATTAAAATTATTTGTCACAGAATTTGTTATTAATAAGAGACGACAATATTGATGTAATATTTTTATTTAATATACTTCATACATATATTGTTTTCTGTTTTAGGAAATACTTCACCAAATCAAGTCGAACCTACACCATTTTTGATAGAATGGATACCAGATATTTTGCCAATTTCAAAGATAGGTGAACTTAGGATAAGGTTTGAATTCGGCCATGTAAAAAATGAAACTAGTCATAAATGGAGAAAAATTGCTGTTTCTAAAAATTATTAAAGCTTTCACTTTCGAAATGTCGATTTTTAACAGATTTTCACTTTTTTATCATGAAAAATTAAAGAAATATCTGATCACTAAGAAATTACGAGAGAGAAGCAAATATTAAATGTGCAACACTTAATTTTAGAATAATTAATAGAATGACTGTCTATTGAGGGGTCGCGAACCCAATGTTAGAATTTAAATAAATTATATTGATGGAATTAAATTATTTTTAAGAAATAAGTAAATTTTAATTGAACTATATACTCATTGATTAAACAAATGATAAGCATAATATCTCTCTGTAGCGCAAACTTTAACTAACATTTTAAATCACTAATTCAAAGACTGATATGTAATTATTAGTGGTACATAGAGTTGATCTATAAAACATTAATATTACTTTACAATTACTGAAAATTGTAATTTTTTTTATTATTGTATTACTTATGCAGTGATACATAATTGCCAATGTCAGTTGTCCTATCAACTACTTACTATGTAGTTTTTACAAATATTTACATTTTAATTTATTTTAACGAGAAGAATATTGTGCGCAAGTATCACTATTATAAATTGTTAATATTATCAATAATTGCCCTTTATGCTGTAGCATTTGAAATATTGTGATATATATATATTGTAAAAAAAATATATATAAAACTTTAAATTTTATGTTATACATATGTAGAAAGCATGTATTTATATTATTTAACAACATTGGCTTGTGTGCATATGTTATATTGGATTTGAAAATAAATTATATATAAATAAAGTATATTATATATAAGTTACATATATATATTATTATATACTACATATATATATATGAAATTTTATCATAAATACATATTAGATATATAATTAATCTTTGGTATTATATCTACTTCCCATACATATAATAGATTAAATTTTTTAAATTCCAGATAAATGTTATTTATAATTTTTATTCATAATAATAGTATATAAGTTGTCATTTCAATATATTCTCTTTAAGTTATATTATTTTATTTTCCATATGTAATAGATTAAATCTTTCAAATTATAAATTTCCAATTTATAATTTTTATATATTTATCATTATTTTATTTATTGATAATATTAAATTTCAATATTCTTAAAGTTATTATTTATCATTTTTCAGAATAAGTAAACAGCTCTAAAATCGAATATTATTGAATTAATATAAAAAAAAAAATTTAAAAATTATTGATGAATTATGTGTCAAAATAGTCGAAATTTGCATACATACATAATTAAATTGCATTAAAAAATTGATCAATCAGGCGTGATCAATATATAGGCAGCTCTATTGCTACTTCTATTTGTCCAGACAAATGATTGGTTGATTTTTCTGCGCGCATGCGCATCTATGTTAATTTCTGTGGATAGGCCTAAATAGCAGCACTGCTTCTATAACTATTCTATGCTCGCGCGTAATCGGAGGTTTTACCGCGCAAAAGTATCAAGTAAAATGTCTGCAGGTTTGTCCGCGAGAAGTTTGAAGAAGAAATCCAACGAAATTAATCCTTTAGAGCTGCCATCGCATCTTCGCAAGTTGCAAGATATCAATTTAAGAATGTATTGAGTAAGATATGTCAATATTATAAGTATATTCTCCTATCATTTCTGATAACCATAAGCTCGAAAATATTTAACGAAAGAGAGAGAGAGAGAGAGAGAGAGAGAGAGAGAGAGAGAGAGAGAGAGACAAGAATCTTTATTAATCTTCCCTAATTCTTGATTTTTTCAGGATAAGCGGCTTGAAAAAGTACTAATAGTTTTTCAATAGGCATACAGTAAAGCAGTTAAATATCGGTCTCGTACAACAATAAGTAAGTCCTGAATAATAATATTGAATAATTATTATTAATTCGCTACGTTAATTAGGATCCACGATATTACATGTCCCGATATTTTTATATTTTTCTGATTTAAATATCGCAAATTTTCAGAAATCATTACAAATAAAATGCGATTCCATTTATATATATATTTATAAAATTCTACCTTTATAATAAAATATATAAATTTTATCTGTGTGATTAGCTCACATAATATATATATATATATATCGTTTGATACTTCGAGAATCGCAACATTGATTTTCGATATATCTCGAATCGCGCCGCCATTTGCTTTATATATATATATATATATATATATATATATAAAGTGATGTATTCACAAGTCCTAATCAAGTGAATCTCGCGCGCGAAAATATTTATCTCGCAAAGTGTTTGTCCCGAAAAAAACGTATAATTATTATTGCGTCCAATATATGTGCATATATATATCATTCAAACCATCGGCGTTTCGCTTCTATCAAAAATATCGATGTAAATATTATTTCTTTCCAAGGTACAGTAAAAGTGTAATTAGTGCACGATCATCGTCGTAAACACGCGACACCTACACTTGATCGATGCCCGCAGACGCGTTTTTAGCTGACGAACTGTCAGAATTTTCTTGCGTCATTCGCGGCTAACATCGCTAAAGTGCGCAGAGCAGCAAAGTGCGGTGAATTGAGATTTTTCTCGATTTTTGAAACGTCATTCCGCGTGCGATTTCGCACCATCGGTTCGCGATTTTGTGTGCCCCGGGTGGGAGTCTCTCGCAGCCGGAAGCGTGCGTCGCCGGAAGTCAACTCTGACGTAGTAGGTCGAGCGAGGAAGCGTACACTTCCATTTTCTCGAGCCTCACGACGAAGGAACACGTGCTTCGTTGCCGGTTGCCGCGGACACGCATTTTGCGCTCGTGCGAGAAATCGCCGTGGGTGATTTCTCTTTCAAGCGACTCTTCTACGCCTCTCCGTCGCCTCTCACCGTCCTCGACACACGACAAGGAAGTTTAAAGGATGAATCCCGAGAAGCTCAAGAAGCTGCAGGCCCAGGTGCGAATCGGCGGCAAGGGTACACCCCGACGCAAGAAGAAGGTGAGTACGAGTAATAGTCCGCGAAAAATCGAATTTTCTCATTTAGACGCGATTATATTACTGACACCACCGTCCTTACTTTGATGATTTTCACGCCGAAACGATTAGGAGGCGCGTGACAACGCGAGATTCTATTTTAAGAACAATGAACGCGGAATTGATTAGTTGTTTGCTTCTCCTTTGCATTTTGCCTTGTTTTGTGATGCATTCTTCGCGGATGTCATAAATATTTATTTATAAAACTGAATCGAGTCTCTCGGTGTAATTATTTTTACTCTGACTCGTTGAAGTAAATAAACATTAATTTTGATATTAATCGAAGAACGATCATGCTACATGGATTTTAATCCAATATATTGAAAAGGAAGGAAGTAAAACGTATGCACACAGTATATGGAAACAGTGTTAAGTAAAGTACTAACATTTTATTTAATTATCACTGAGAATAGAATATTGTTGTTTTCGTGTTTTTCTTTCATTGTCACTTTTGCAGGTTGTACATGCAAACTGCTGCCACAGATGATAAAAAGTTACAGAGTTGCTTAAAGAAGCTTTCTGTAAATACAATCCCAGGCATAGAAGAAGTAAATATGATCAAAGATGACGGAACAGTGATTCACTTCAATAATCCAAAAGCTCAGGCCAGTTTGTCTGCTAACACATTTGCCATCACTGGCCATGGAGAAAATAAACAGATAACAGAGATGTTACCAGGAATATTGAGTCAACTGGTCCCGAGGGTCTGACACAGCTGAAACGATTAGCTAGTACGGTTGCTGGCAGTGCGGTCGGTAAAGCCACATTGGAA